TCAAACGCAAAATGCGTGCGATCAAACGTAAACGTCTTGAGCCACGAGAACTGAAACGTCTGGAGGCAACAGTTGCCCGTCTCCCCGCGGATGTCGTCAGTGAAGCAGGTTCGCTTTCTCCTTATCATGTTTCTACCGATTCTATCGATCATCATAACTTCATCTTTACCTCGAAATACAGTTACAATCTCCAGCTCACGCACTCTAAATTATATGGCGATTTTCCTAGCCAGTGCCCTTTTTTTCATTAGCCCGTATCGCTTTGAGATGAACTCAAAGTTTTGTGATGAAATGAAATAAAAGTTGAGCTGATGAAACATTTTATCTTTAATGTTTCTTAGATAAATTTAAAGTTTTTGTTACATTTTCAGTGATGGAAGCTGAAGAACAACGTCGCGATGATCAGGCTGAATCCGTAAGTATTAAATTTGTTGCTTTGAGAAATTTTTGTCGGATAAACTCGATCACCATGATCCACGTTGATGATGAGAAGTTATCGCATGCAAAAAGTTTGATTGCGTTCAAAAGCGCTTCTTCGGTGATTCATTAGCGGGAACTTTCCAAATTGTCTAATTGTCTGCATTGACTGGGAATGGAAGAAAAATTATTCTGATCATTTCAGTCTTCCAAACGTAATTCATTTCAGATGGATACTGGACCAAAAGGTGTCAGTGCTGGTGGTCTGAATCTCAAGACGATGAAAAAAGCTGATGGATCCTACCCAGTTTGGCTCAGCCAGCGGAAAGTACGGCAAGCGAAAAGCAAGCGAAAAATGGTTGTGAGTGCTAAGAAAAAAAAGTCTAAAAAGAAGAGGTGATTCAGTAATGGTATATACACTATGCAGTTGATTGCAGAGGCAAATATTAAATAATCATGTTATGGTTGAAGTAGTGATCATGGAAACTAATTTAGAGGAATATTGATCTTAAATGTCTTGCGATAGAAGGGGTGAGCAGGTGATCTGATATTCGCAAAACTGTTCCATTTTGATGTTGTTTTGAGTGTAAACAAATTACTAAGGAAATGGACCCATATTTTATGAATGTAAGCGTGATAGGACCATATTTCACGCTTATTCAGTTTCATTATTCATTCCTTAAAACCGCATGTTCACGTTTCCGTTTTCAAGTGATACAAAGTGTTGTTTTCGTTGTTATGTTTGTTACTGTTATGATATTTATGATTGTTGTTTTGATTTCGTTTCTCGAATTGTTGATTC